GATTGTAGGTATAATAACAATTTAAGTGTTTAAGACAATTACTGGTATACAATATATTCTTATGTCAAGTTCCAAAAATTTTTTGACCATAGTTGGACTACTGAAACCAAGGCCAGTGGAACCAAGATTCATAGCAACTAACATATAAAAATCCATCTCTTATTTGCATAATGTCTTTTATAAAAATCCAGTTGTTTATAAGATAATTTATTTCAATTAACAAGTTAAAAACTTCATAAGGGCTTTAAAGAGATACTGCATAAATACCAACGCACACATTGCTTATGGTAGAAACTAGGAAAAAACAGAAAGAATACAAAAGCAAAGGAAGGACTCTGGAGTTAGAGAAATTAGAGCATCATCCATTTATCCACCACTACCCACACACACCCTCCCGCCCCAAAAGGACTGATATCAACATTCAAAACCACACAAAAAAATCTCAAGAAAAGAAAATAAGCTCTACCTTTTAGGTCTGATTTGCATAATCGTTACTCCAGTAACTGTGTCTCCATGAAGCACAGTATGTATTATAGGGGCTGGACCACGCCACCTCGGGAGGCAACTGGGATGGACATTCAATATGCCACTGAGTTAGAAAAGGCAGAAATTAGTATGCAAATGGGTTGTGCCATTTAGTTACTGCTACCTAAACTAATATGCTCCTTTTTATCATTAAACTTCCCCAGAAATTTTGAAAAACTAACAGTTAAATCTAGTCTTGTAACACTGGAAAAGGGAGCAGAGCTAAGTTCACTCTCTTACCATAAGAGACCAATGAAACTCAATTAAAAACAGAGCAAGAATAACTATTCAGTATTCCAAAGATGTTGCACAACAGCTCATGATGTCTGGGGTTTTTTTTTAATAAAAACAAAAAATACATTTTTTACTAAATGAGAACCACTCAAACTCTCATGCATCTCATGGAGGATGTGAGTTATATTTGTAGCTTGCTTACATAATTACCCTTATTTCTCTTGGTTGGCATATAGAATGCCTAAAACAACCTTCTTGAATAACCATCACCTTCCCTCTTTATTCCAATACACCTATCACCCATTAATGAGCAATTTAAATAATTTACTGATCTGTCATTAGTCCCCCCCACCCCCAAAGAACTTTAGAGAGAGTGGAAGGGAGGGAGGGGGAGAGAGACAAGACTGAGAGAAACATTGATGTAAGAAAGACACATCAATTGCATGTGCCCTGACCAGGGCATGGGATCAAACCCGCAACCCAGGTACATGGCCTTGACCAGTAATTGAACCCATGACCCTTTGGTGTGCGGGCCAAAGCTCTATCCAGCCAGGGCTAATCTGTCATTAGTTTAATAATGTCTCCATCAGCATGAGTATGCACTTAAGAATGTGTGAATATAAGAAAGTCTTATATTATAAGTTCCACTGTTCAGCTCAGTCTCACACATTCAACAAATATTAACTGAGCATAATCCATGTGCTGGCAATGTGCTACTGGGATACAAGCAAAAGTAAACCAAACAGAAAAAAAAGAAATTCTGCCCTCGCGGAGCTTATATGATAGTATGAGGAGTGGAAGATGGGCAATAAAAAACACAATACATAAAAAGTTTGTCAGCTGGTACTAAGGGCTATGGAGGAAAATAAAGCAGAGAAGGGAACAGGACTATTGGATGGGAGATTACAATTTTAATATTAATTAAAGAAAGTTTTACCAATAAGACACTGGGCTAAAACAGGCGGAAGTAAAGGAATCACCCTGCAGATACAAGGGAGAAAAGCTTTCCAGGCAGAGGGAACACTAAGCACAAAGGTTTCGAGGAAGGTAAACACTGGCAAGTTCAAGGCACAGCAGGGAGGCTGGCGTGGCTGGAGTTAAGTGAACCTGAGCAATAGTACTAGAAAATGAGGCCAGAGAGCCAGCAGGGAACAAAACCAAGTAGGCCGGTCCTCAGAGGCCTTTAACTTTTATTTTGAGTCAGATGGAAAACCACCAGAGAAATTTGAGCAGAGTGACTGATCTGACTTATGTTTGTTTGTTTTTTTAATCCTCACCTGAGGACATTTTTGCATTTTATCTTGAGATATAGAGTGGTAGGGAAAGAGGGAGAAAGAGAGAGAGAGAAACATCGATGTGAGAGAGACACAGGGAGTGGTTGCCACCCACACGACCCCAACTGGGGCCGGGGACAAACTGCAACCGAGGTATGTGCCCTTAGCAGGAACCAAACCCGGGCCTCTCTGGTCCCCGGGCCGATGCTCTAACCGCTGAGCCAAATCGGCCAGGGCTGACTTATGCTTTAAAAGGATCATTTTGGCTGCTGGGTTGGTAAAAGACTGAGAGGGCCAACAACAGAAATAGAGACCAGTTAGAAAGCTGCTGCAGTATAGCCGGTGAGAGCGGTGGCAGTGGAAGTGACAAGAAACAGTCAGATTCTAGACAGCTTTCAAAGGCAGAGCCAAAGGATTTCCTGATGGACTGTGGTGTGAAATAACAAATCAAGAATGACCCCAAGGTTTGGGGGACGAGCAACCAGAAGGCTAAAGGTGCCATCTGCTGAGATGAAGATTTTGAAGAGGAGAAAATTTTGGGCAAAAGTTCAGGAATATAGTTCTGGACCTCTTAAACGTTGGATGTAATGTCCAAACAGGGCTGTGCAGGAGGCAGTGGGTATCAGGGACCTGGAATTCAGGGAGAGAGCTGAACTGAAGGGACAAATTTGGGAGTTGTCAGCATATATATGAAATTTAAATAAGGGGAGTGAAAGCCCAGAGATACTGATAAAGAGCATCATACATTTTAACAATTCATGCCATTAATAAAAGATTTTAAGAGAAAATACTAAAGAAAACAGAATTAGAGTTCAAACTATTGCATTCTATAGATGCCAGGTCCATACATAAAGACCAAAGTCTCTATACTGTATTTCCTTATAAATAAAACTTACTATGGAAATTTAAGAATAAGAGCCTCACTCAAAAGTCGGCCAAATGAAGCGACCACTCCAACATCATATTCTCCAGATCCCACATCTGGCCACTCATACACTGGCAGCTGAGACTGGACAGCATATTGCTTCACTGGCAGTCCTTTTGGAGACGGGGAAGGTACTGTGACCACCTCCAATTTTTCAATTAATTCTTCTTCTTTGTTTTCCCTAAGTTGTAATGATTGGAAGAAAATGTGACAATGTTAAAACAATGGCTCAGAGCTCATCTATTTCACACACCTCTACAGTATTTTTATGATTAAATTCATGAAGCACCTGAGAGACTGAGTTTTCATTTTTTATTTAATTTTAGTTATTTTAAATTTAAAGAGCTATATGTGTCTAATGACTACTGTTTGAAGAGCATAGCTCTAGAAATTTCCTGTGCATATAGAAACATATACAGTAAAGACATTTTATACAATTGGGATAGTATATAAACTGCTCCATCTTTGGTTTTCTTTTTTCCTCTTAACACTATATATGCTATTAGGGGAGTCTTTTGAAAAAATAAAAAAGGGTTAATTATACATTTACTTATTCATGCAACAAACATTCTAGAATAAGAAACCAGTGGCTGTCTCTGAAGAAAGGACCTGGAAACAGGAAAACAGGTGGAACTGACTAAATATCCTTTGAATCTTTTGAATTTTGTACCATAACCATGTGCTACTCAAATACTTGGGGGAAAAAACAAAAATATATTCCATGGTCATCATTCCATGACAGTGCATACAGCACTACCTCATTCTTTTTACCTGCTGCATATTACAGTGCCCAAGGAGGCTGTTTATTTAGCAGGTATTGCATCACACTTGAGGAGTTATTAGAAAAGGAGTATACAGAGGGCCCTAAAAGTGCAGGAGAAATGGACCAAGTGAAGCATCAGCGGAAGGGTCAGGATACATGCAGTGAGAGATGTGTAGTGCGTTATGGAGGGTGTGCAAAGGAAGCATATGTGAAGGAAGTGTTTCAAGGGGTGTGTACAGAGGGCAGTGTGTGGAGGAGGAATATGATACAAGCAGATTGCAAAGAGAGTCAATATGAGGGGCTACTGTGAAGTGTATGAAGGGAAGGCTTGATGGAGTGAGATGTCAGAAATGAGTGGAGGGCTGAGTACATCAGGAAAAAATGGATCGGGCAGAGGGAGAGCATATAAAAGGGAGGTTGGGGAAAAGGGGACAGACAAGCACATATGGTATAGCCATCACATACCATGAACTTTCAGGACAGGCTGGATGCCAATTAATTCTTTTCCCAGCGAACAAGACTTGTTAAGTTTTACAAATACAATATGTATACCTAAAAGTCCTGATCTATACATTTATTTATTTATTTGAAAACAGTTTTTTGGACAATATACTCATTTGGGCCACTGAACACTAGGTCCGGCTGCATACAGGAAGAAGGAGAGCGAAGGCATAAGACGTGGGTGTGTAAGGGAATGCCTGCACCTGTTAAGAAGCCCAAGGGATTGGAGGGTACAAATTAGACCAATCCGAGCAAGCAGAATGGGGAGGACTTTGAGGTCAGACCCCATTTTAGTCTCAATCAACTCAGATGATGAACTTGGGCAATCGCTTAACCTCTCTGAGCTCCGATTTCCGTCCACGCAAACGGGCAGGGAGGGGGCAGGGGTCGGACGGAAGCGGCTAACACGGGCATGGCACCGCGGGCGCTTGGACAACGAACAAGCAGGGCCTGCTGTGTAGGGTGTAGATCGGACCGTGCCGGAAGCGTGCGGCGCACCTTCCGGGCGCCCGGATTCGCCAGATCTGGGCCCGCACCCCTCCGGCGCCGCTGCTTTCCCAACGGGAGTCCAAACCGTCCGGGCCGCCCGCGGAGGCTGGACCCCGGCGCCCTCAGCAGCCGGGCCCCCTGAGCCCGGCCTCCGTACCTGGCGGCGTGCAGCGCCCGCAGGGTCTCGCGGGCGAATTGGTCGGTGCCGAAGAAGAGCACCCGCCAGGGCGGCTTCTCGCGGACTCGGATGCCCCGGCCGTCCTCCCCGCCAGGGGACCCGCCGAGCCCGGCCAGCGCTCGACACGGGGGGCTCGGCCTCCGGCCCGCGCCGCCACCCGCAGGTAAGGGCCCCCAGCAGCGTCGCACTAGCACCCTCATCGCTTCCGCAGGTGGTCTATCTTGCGCAGGCGCGTCGGGATGAGATTGACAGAGCCGGGCTCGAGGGGCGGGACACGGGAGGAAACCTGATGGGCGGGGTCTGTCTGGTTGGAGGCGGGGCCGTTCGCGTTGGAGATGAAGGAATTTGCTGGTTCAAGAGTCCCCGTGATTTTTGTTGTATTTATATTTACACGATTCATCTAATCTCCCAGAATAACTTTTTTGGGAACAAATCAGATAATGAAATAGCACTTATTTCCGTAATTCTGCGTTATTGTCATTTTCTCAGTCATGATAACTAATATTTACTGTGTATTTAATATGCCACGCTTTGGCTAAGCATTTTGATTAATTCCGTTCATCTTCATATCAATCATACCAGGTAGATATTATTACAACTATTTTACTGAAGAGAACCTAAGGCTCAGTGAAGTTAAGTAGTTACCTAAGGTCCTCACAGTTAGCCCATGTAGCTCCAGAGCGTGATCCAAACCATTTGGCATTACAGCAATCCTATTTATTATGAAAGTCGATGTCCCTGTTTTGCACCTGAGGAAAATGAGGCTCATTTGCTTGCTCTCCTAGGCACTCTGGTGAATCAAAGACCCTACTCTATCTCCTACTCTGTGGGGTTCCTCTTGCACAGAGAAATACATAGAGGAGATTCTTAGGAAGAATGATGGGGGAGGGGGGTTGCTCTTAAGAGACCTCTAAGGACCTCTAGTGATTAGATTTTATATTCCTGAGGCCCATGCAGAGGCCTTCTCCTTGAATGCAGTCACACATCCTAGCTATAGAGAATAGATTCCTTTCTAATCACTCTCATCAACTTTCCCCATCACACAGGCTTAGACCCAGTGACCCTAAACCAGTCCTTTTTCCTAAACTACAAGCTTTGCACATCCCTGCTTCGGTGCTTTTGCTCATGCTGTCCTCCCCACCTCCCTGCTCCCTAAATGCTGCCCGTTCTTCATTTCCAAGTTTAGACGTCCTCCCCTGAACTCTTGTCTGTATGGATTTAATGTCTTTTTGCATGCATCCCCTTAATGCTCTGTGGAAACCTCTGCTTCTCAGTTTGGAATTATTGAGAAAAATCATCTAATGTATGCACAGACATTGACAAATTCACCAGTGTGTTGAATAGAAGAGAGGCAAAGAGAAAGGGAGAGACTGTATTTCCAGTGATTCTGCTCATCTGACCATACATGAGGAGAGTGAGATGGAACCCCAAACCTTCTTTTCTTTCAATGGAGTGCTCTTTCAGTATCCTCTCTTAGGGTACGTGGAATATGATTCGAATATTTTTTTAAATGGTCTTTTCATCCTGACCGGTTTGGTTCAGTGGTTAGAGCATTGGCCCGAAGACCAAAGAGTCGCAGGTTCAATTCCAGTCAAGGACACGTACCTCGGTTGCGGTTGGGTCCCGGCCCTGGTCGGAGTCCTTCAGGAGGCAGCCAGTCAGTGTGTCTCTCTCACATCTATGTTTCTTTCTCTCTCCCTCACCCCTCCCACTCTATCTGAACATAAATGGAAAAATGTCCTTGGTTGAGGATTAAAACAAAAAGGTCTTTTCCCATAAAACATGACCTATAAATGCAACTCAAATAGTCACTTGGGTTTTCACATTAGATCCTGGCTGCTGTCTAAAGTGTGACTCTTGATATTTGTGTTAATGTCACTTCTCTCCTTGAGTTAGAGAACCTGCATTGTGCTACATTTAATTTTCAGCAGCCCAAGTTCTTCACAGCTCTTCCCTAGAGCTGCCTTGAGCTGTTCACAGTGCCCTCTGCCAACCACACAGCAACTGGTAGAAACCAGAAGGTTGAGAAGAGGAAACAGTTTTGTAGGATGATCATAGTTCATTTTTCACCAGACAGATTTGAATCTACCATTATCAGCTATGTGACCTAGGTATAACAAATAACACTGAGCCTCATTTCCCCCAAATTGTAAAATGGGGATCAACTACTGTACTACTGCCATCTCCTGTCTGTGGTTGCAGCAGAAGTCCGCGAGGAGGCGCTGCTCACTAACCTTTCTAGTCATTGACCGTGAGGAGGACAACGCAAAGGCAGGGCGCTTCTCATTCGGGTTAGGCTGTCTGTGTTACTGTCCCTTGTGGTTTCAGTAGGAGATGTAACTCCCAAATCTGCCCATGCTCTCTATAAAGCAGGGCTGGGGCTGCAACGCCATCCACTGAGGTCAGACAGGACATGCTGGCCATCCCTCATGCCCCACAGCTCTTAGAGATGATAAAGACTAAGGAGGCTGTTCTGTGCAACAGACTGTCCCCCACCGGGAGACTGGGCTGTCTTTCCGTCCCAGAGGAGAGCTAAAGAGGCAGTCTGGGCCAACAGGACTGGGTGTCCTTGAAAGGAGAGAGACTGGAGAGGTCACATGACATCTGAAGGAAGCCAGAGGTGAGACTACAGGACCAAGAAGCAGATTAGGGACACCTAGTAAACCAAGGGAAATATAAATATTGCCTGCATCCAAACCAAGAGCAGTAAATATTTCTTCCTTATGGACTAGGCACCTGTTAAACAAAAAATGTTCATGGACAAAAGCTTTTTAAAAAGAAAGGGTTTATTGAACCATATGTTAGCCAGAAAAAAACCAGGTCCTGGGACATGAAGTCTAAACCACCAGCAGCAGGGCTAGATAGAGAAAGCAACTGTCCTGGAGTTGACAGGCTCTATACACCAAGGAGGGGAAGAAAGATGTAAGTTGTTTTGACAGAATTTACACTGGTTATAGATAAAAGGGATGAGAGAAGGTGAAGTGAGGCTAATTCTGGGATGGGTGCAGAGTCCAAGAAAAAAATGTTTGTTCTTTAAAACTGGTTATAGGCAACAGTCTGGAAAGTTCATGGGTAAGAAAGAAGCATAGGCTCCTGGAGGGTCAGTGGCTCCTGACTATTCTCTCTAGATAATTGCAGAAATAGCCATCTGGAAGTTAAATCAAAGTTTCAGCATTCAGTAACGTAAGTAGTCTTTTGTTGGTATTTGCTCTGCAGTTGTTAACTGATCAACCTCTTGTCTCTCCCTTCTACCTTCTTGTGTGCTGTAATTTAATTCAGGACACCTTAGAAATTTCTCCTTGTCATTCCTATCCTAGAACTGTCCTGCTTCACCTTTTAAAGAGCCCCGTCAGGTCCAGGACAGTGGACATGTTTGTCTCCTCCAATCAGTCCTGCTTCTGGTGGTTTGGACTTGGTCCTTTTTCTGGCCAGCATATGGCCCAATGAACCCTTTCTTTCAGAAAACTTTTTGGCCATGAAAGCTTTTGTTTAACAAAGGAATAATATCATTATGAATACAAATACTTCTGGCAAAAATGACTGTGCATGTTTTGTATGCCTGCTTGCCTCCTTTTATTAAAAAATGTAAAAAGCGCCCTGGCTGGTTTTGCTCAGTGGTTAGAGCATTGGCATGTGGACCAGAGACTCCTGGGTTCAGTTCCCGCTAGGGGCACATACATCGGTTGCAGTTTGTCCCCGGCCCCAGTTGGGGTCATGCGGGTGGCAACCACTCGATGTCTTTCTCTCACATTGATGTTTCTCTCTCTCTTCCTCCCTCTCTCCCTCCCACTCTATCTGAAGATAAATGCAAAAATGTCCTCGGGTGAGGATAAAAAAAACAACAACAAAAAACAAAACAAGAAATCAAATAATGCAAAGAGACTCATTTATTTATTTATTTATTTATTTATTTATTTATTTATTTTAGAGAGAGAGAGGAAGGTGGAGGGGGTAGGAGGAGAGAGAGAGACATCAATTTGTTGTTCCACTTATTTATTCATTCATTGGTTGCTTCTTATATGTGCCCTAACTAGATAATGAAACCCACAAACTTGGCACATTGGGATGACACTCTAACCATCTGAGCTATCTGGCCAGGGTGACTCCTTTTTTAAACCAAGACAGATCTTTAAAAATTATCTGAGACAAAAGGAAAGGCTTTAAAAGAAAAGTTGTCCCAATACCATTTAGTCTTACTTATATGTGGAACCTAAAAATAAATAAATAAAAATAAACAAACAAAACAGAAACAGATTCATAGATACAGAAAACAAACTGACTGCCAGATGGTAGGGGGTGATAAAGGTAAAGGCATTAAGAAGTACAAATTGACCCTGGCCGGTTTGGTTCAGTGGTTAGAGCATTGGACTGAGGATCTCGGGTTCGAATTCTGACAAGGGCATTTACCTGGGTAGCAAGTTTGATCCCCGACCCTGGTCAGGATCCTGTGGGAGGCAACCAATTGATATGTCTCTCTCACATTGATGTTTCTCTCTCTCTCTTTTCCTCCTTGCACTCTATCTAGAAATCAATGGAAAAATATCCTTGGGTGAGGATTAACAACAACAACAACAAAAATAAGTACAAATTGACAGTTACAAAAGAGTCATGCAGATGTAAAGTACAGTTTAGGAAATACAATCAGTAATATTGTAGTAACCATGTATGGTGTCAGATGAGTAGGAGATTTATCAGGGGGAATACTTCATAAGTTATATAAATGTCTAACTGCTATCCTGTACACTTGAAACTAATATAATATTGAATGTCAACTCTAATTTAAAAATAAATAAATAAATAAATAAATAAATAAATAAATAAATAAAAGAAAGAAAAATTATCCCAAATCTGATCCAGGACAGAACTTTTTTCCTTTAAAAATTTTTTTATTTTCTTTATTGATTTTAGATAGAGAGGAAGGGAGAGGGAGAGAGAGATAGAATATGAGAAAGAATATCGATTGGCCACCTCCTGTATGCCCCTTCTCCCCCAACTGGGGATCAGGCCCACAACCTGGGCATGTGCCCTGACCAGGAATCGAACTGGTGATCTCTTGGTGCATGGGTCAATGCTCAACCACTGAGCCACACTGGCCAGGCCTTTTTTCTTTTCTAAATGATTTAATTCACAACTTCCTTCTGGAAATAAGTTATAATTTCTGGT